ATTCAGGGATCCACTCCTCTACTTCACTGTCACTCCCTGAAAGCTCACTGTCCTCACTTTCTGAGGACAGAAAGTGCACATCCCCTTGGTTTCCTTCCATAAAAGGTTTTTACATCCATGTCCTGTAATTAAAAAGTAGAACAAACAATCAAATATGCTTCTTAACATATTCATGCACATGCAAGTTTTTCTTTTATATACATTTATTTGTGTGAGGCATGAAAATGTGGTTTGTTGCCTCAGGGCAACGCTATGCAGTAGAGGGTTAACCCAGCCACTGTGTCTGTTTGAGGTGGTAATACAGCATGCAGGTCTGGATTTACACAAAGCTCACAGGTGATTTTAAGTGGAGAATCAGGTACTTGCTGCACACTGTTCTTGATGAACTTCTTGTGTTTGTGGCTTTCAGTAACTCAGAGCGTGGAGTCTGATGTCACTCTGCTTCCTAAACGAGGCCCGGAGCCGCTCGAGTACATCCCTCTTGGCAAAAAGAGATGTCACTCGGAGGAGGAGGCGGGGCACCAGCCCAAACGAGTTAAGCCATCAGAAAGCTCGACATCACAAAACTCGTCATCAGAGAGCTCGGACGGATTCACGTACATGGGTGAGATGTGCAAGATTTAATATTAGAGCTCAACTCCATTCAACATGTTATGGGGACAAAATCATGTTATTTACTACATACAGAAATATTTAAATATAAAATGTAGAAAATGGAAGCAATAAAACTTGAACTCCAGTCTGAACTGTTCTGCGTTCTCCGTACAGGTGACGCTGTGGTCGTTTACACCGATGGCTGCTGCTCAAGAAACGGACAGAGCGGCGCACAGGGGGGCATCGGGGTCTACTGGGGATGCAACAACCCGCTGTGAGAATATGTGCAACGAGCATGTTTTAAACAGTTCCTAAAATCTGCTCAGTCTAAACCTCCATAGTGAAAGTCTTAATTGCATAAATGGATGCATCGGTTTCTCACATTTGTTGCCTCTGGCTTTATAGAAATGTTGCAGAGAGGCTGCAGGGAAGGCAGACCAACCAGCGCGCAGAGATACAAGTAAGATTTACATCTCAGCATGAGAGTTTCTGTCTTAAAAGTCCAGTTTAATGCTCAGTGTTAACTCTGCAGGGCTGCACTTAAACAGTACTTTTTAAATTTTTAACAGTAACATGGGGTGATTTTCATTCTGTTGCTTTAGAATCTTTTTAAAGGGACCGCCATGACACCCTTTTTTCCTTTTGTGAGATGTTGTGTAGAGAGAAATAAAAGAAGAGCACTTCAATTTGCCACTTATTGTTGTGCTTTAATATATTTTAATGGGAAGTATGTTTTGTTTGTTTTTTTGTTTGTTTTTTGGGTGTTGGGTAAAATCTACCTGACATTAGTGATAGTGTTATAAAACTGCATGTTAGTGTGCTAGGGTTAAAGAGAGGAGAGGCTGAGGCAATTTTAACCAGTTTAAACTACTGAGGGCCAGCATGTAAAGAGGCTTATTAAATGTACAGCAAATACAAAGAAGCGCCACCTGATGGTCATAGAGGGAACAAAACTAAAAATGGCACCATGAGAATGAAGGTTTTAAACTCAACTTCTGAAAAGTTTCCTGAGGGAGCAGATATGTAAATGTACCTATTTATTGGAAAGAATAGCAAGACGCAGGCCTGTAAATGCCTGTTTGTTATTTTATGCTTGGATTTTTCTCTACAAGCTTTAAAGCAAAACTAACTGTCGTCTCTGCTCTCGCTGCACCAGGCGGCCTGCAGAGCGCTGGAACAGGCCAAACAGAATAACATCAAGAAACTCGTTTTATACACTGACAGCAAGTTTACGATAAACGGTGAGTCACAAACTCGAGTCATGCTGCAGTCATGTTGCATTACCACTCAGATTTCAGCTTTTGAATTTCCCACTGAATGGGTAAAGGTTTTTCTTTTCTTTTTCCTTCATGCAGGTGTGACCAGCTGGGTGAAGAACTGGAAGCTGAACGGCTGGAGGTTGAAATCTGGAGGTCTGATTACCAACAAAGACGACTTTGTGAAACTGGACAGGCTGAATGGACAGGTGGAGGTGGTCTGGGTAAGTATCAGTGTTTCTTTGCAGACGGGGTCTTTAGATTCATGCAGGTCAGAAGTAAACAATGTTTTTTACATTTACCGCAGGAGTCTTTTTGCAGTCAACCGCCCCCTGCTGGGGAGGTGATAAATCTGTCCATGGCCTGAAAAATGGCCACAAGGGGGCACGGAGGGCTCAGTACAGTCAGACAGAGCAAGCAGCCGAACAGCTTTCCTCAGAGGCTAAAACTGTATATATCAAAGGGACAGTTTCAGTGGATTACTTGGATTAAGATGATTATGTTTTGTTTTTTGTTTTCTGAAATCTTATGCTTTTGATAAGCAGATGAAGTGTTACATATCCAAATAATTTTGCTATTTCAAACGTCTTCAAAAAAGAAAAATCTGAGCATTCGGCTGAAGACAGGTTCAGCGTTCCTGTTTCATTTTGTTTGCACGTTAGATTCTTAATTCAGAAAAATATCATAAATTTTTTTTCTTTTAATCAGCTCTGAATGATAAAAATGTTAAATGATA